GCACTCTCACACACAGCACCCTCACAGCCATCACACACAGCACTCTCACACCCATCACACACAGCACCCTTACACACAGCACCCTCAAACACATCATAAACAGCACCCTCACACACAGCACCAACACACATATCACACACAGCACCCCTCAAACACAGCATCCATTGCATCACATACTGCACCCTTCACATACACACTACATCCCTCACACATACACACTGCACCAAACACACACACACAATACTTCCGAACATATTTATTATATTTATATATATATATATATACACATATACATACATACACTACAGCACCCTTCACACACATACTGCACTCCTAAACACATTACGTTCCAGACACACACTAGATCCATTACCCAACTCTGGATCATATACACACACTAGATCCCTATATACACTATGAATCCTTATATACACACTCACTAGATCTCCTACACATTCTGGGTCCTTCAAATACACACTAGACTCCTGTATACACACACACACTGCACCACCTATACACACACACACACACACACACTACATTCCTAAAATACACACTCTGGATCCCTTATAAACACACTAGATTCATTGTAAACAAACATATACTACACCCCTAAACACACACTCTCTACAACCCCTACAAACACTACATCACCTATACATACACACACACACACACACACTATATCCTGTATGCACACACTTACTACTTCCCCTATACACACATTCTCTACAGCCCCTAGCCACATATGCATTACATTACACCAAAAACACAACACAACTAAAACCGACCTTATTATACAATACCACACCACAATCAGCTCACTCTACACACACGCAATCCCACAAGCAGGCTCCAAACACATGCACAATACTCTTTCCTTAATAATTTATATTTTAAATATATATGTCTATAATTGCACTTTATTTCCTACTTTCATATATTATATATATATATATATATATATATATATATATTTATATTTCTCTGCAAAATACATTTTTTTCCTTAGTATTTTTTTCCTTAGTATATTTTAACACACTCCCTTCCACTTGAACTATATATTAATATCTGCCTCCATTTATTTTGGTTTCTACATGTAAAATTACAATTTGCCAGCACTACATTTGTTGTATTACTATCCCTTTTATTGCTCTTACGGGTGTATGTATATGCCTATTATATGTGATTTCATTTTTGTTTATTCTGTGTAAAGACTCTATGTGTGGTTTCTTTTAATGGGTTTTATTTGTTTTAAACAGACATTAATGGGGTGAGCGGCTGGCTGATAAAGCTCGAAGTCAGCCGCCCATCGTTCTCTCCCATGTGGGCAGTGACCAGCTACAACTACATCTCCCGAGAGCCCTTGCTCTCTTCATGCCGGTCACGTGCCCCTTTGGGTTGTTCTTCCTCCCTAAAGAGCGGCGTGCTATTCGCCACTCACGTCTTGATCACGTGACAGATCTTCCGATCACGTGACTTTTTAATTATTAAATATCCAATAAATTAATGCTTGTTTTCCAAATTAAAATATACAATGAGTAAGATACTCACCTCCTTTTTATCCAAATCAATTTTCATGCAAATTTGTAATTGCAAAAAGATTTATGTTATCCCTTGCTTGTAATTGGTGCATTGGTTTAGGCGCCAATTTTAATCTTTGTATAAAGCTATATAAACTGTTTAATGCCAGGTTACTGTTCTTTAGCCATTTTTGATAAAGCCCATGAGGTGAAACGTGTCAAATGTTTTTTTACTGTGTAATTTAACAATAAAAACTTTTATTTGGTACCCTTATTTATAGGACCAATTCTGTTTTATTGTATAGACACATTTTTTATTTTTTCCTGGCATCTAACTGTTCCTGCTTAAAGCAATCCACAGGTGGGGATTATTCCACCGGCGCATTATAAATAGAGCAGTATTTCCTGCTCTACAATTGTGAGTATAACTTATTTTATTTTATTTTATGTTTTCCCTTCCTACTGAGAGCACTATATTTGTTTTTATATACCGTGGGAATTTCAACGTTACTCAAGCTGGACGGAGTGACCTATCCTTAAAGAATATCCATTAGCGGGGATTATACCGCTAAGTGCTTTACAACTAAGAGCTGGTCCATAGCTCCAACAAATGTGAGTGCATTTTCCTCCATTTTACCTCATTTCGCTAATTCTCTCAGTACATACTATACCATTGGAAGCCTGTTGTGTTTTTATCTTTCATATACGGATTCCCTGAAAACTTGGAAGGATTAACCTCTGAGGACTGTACATATACAGCTTATCAACATATCAGTGAGACGTCTCTTATGCATGCTATTGGACTTTCTAAGTTTAATTCTTATTAGTGCACAGACTCTGTTTAACTTTTTTATTGTATTGTTTATCTTTTTTATTATATCTTTTT